TGTGCTCCTGCTCCAGTAACAGCCTGCAAGTGAACATGTTCATCCCATTTTTGCAGAGGAAGCAATCCTGAAGAAACCCCAGGGGATTTGGCTGTTTGTGGATACAGAGTGGACCTGCCAGCACGGCTCCAAGCACAGGGTGTTGGCCACCTAACAGGCCCAAATTGTATCCAAAAGGTGAGTTTTGGGAGAGGGGATCCAACCTTGAAGATACTTTATATGATGCAAAAGAAAAAAAAAATAGATATATTTGGCCAATCAATAGTGATGGACAAGATAAACCCTTAACTCTTGGCTGAAGAGGAACTCCTTTTCCTAAAGATTCGCAACAAACACAACTTGAGACAGGTGCTGACCATGAAGAGATGTTGGGAACTGCTAATCTCTGTCACCAGTTGTCTGCCTGGTAAGAGGCCAATGTCTGAAATATTTCCAGAGTTATTACTGAATATCCTTTCCACTGTAGGTTAAAACTAGTCCTAACCATGCAGGAACTCCCTGCTCTGCAGAGCACGTTGCTCAAAACAGCTTCTTTGAACTGCAGGGAGGTGCCCCCATGGGAGATGTTTGCAAAGGGCCCTTGCTGCCCAAGGAACAGACCCAACACCATGGTGGGGACAATGCACCACTCGAGAGCCTGAGATAAGGTCCTAGCCTCTCCTCCGGGCTTTCTGCCTCACAGACCCAACGCCAAGCCTTCCCATAGAGCACACACGGAGAGACAAGCATGGAAGAACGGCATTCACAGCAGCCAGCGCAGCAGCTGCGCAGGCTCCCGGGGTCAGCTCACTGCAGAAGCCACCGAGAAATGCCTGGGAGATGCCTCAGATTCCTGCTGCCTCTCAGGTACTGAGAGCCTGGACAGTGCCTGGGAAAACCCCTTCCTCCAGGGGCAAGGAGCAGCCCCAGGCTCTCTCCTCGGAGAGCAGGCAACCGAGCCCCTCTTTGCAGGGTGGGCAGGAGCAGCTCCATTCTCCCAGGACAATGTTATCAGCAGCAGCCTCCTTCCCCTTATCTGGTGGCTCAGCTGCCTGCGCCCTACCCAGAATGTGGAAGAACTGGGCTCCCGTAGCCTGCACCGCCGCAGGGGATCCAACCCCACCGTCCCCCTCCCCGTGCTGCCGAGAGCCAACGCGATCCAAGCCCTGATCCGTGCTGGGAGCTAGGAAACAGGCTCCTCAGTTCAAGAGCTCTGCCTCACCTCAAACCAAGGCGTACTTGGATGCGCTGTGGCTGTGCAGGAGGAGCTTGGAGGGATGTGCACCATTTTGGGGAGAAGTCTCTTCTTGCACGGCAAGGCAGAGCACAGGTGCTAACAAAGCACCAGGAGCTCTCAGCTATGACACAGAAAACCATGGTCTCCTCCTGGGGTGGCCTGAACGTTGAACACTTCAACGGGAACGAGAATCTTATCCTGACCACCCAAATCCTACCTCCCTTCAACTGGTATCACCTAGACGGAGCTGAGCACAAAATCTCCATGAGTGAAATGGTGCAGGACATGTCCCGTCCTTGCCCTGCTGCACCAGCTACACTGGCCAGGCTCTCAAGCTGCCATGAATGCCTGGTTTTCTTCGGTCAAAGAGGAGACTGGTTTAGCCTAAAGGAAGTTTTCCTCATAAAATAAAGCTAAGCTAAAACAAACCTTTCTTAACACTCAAACTATTGTTTCTGGAAGATCTCATGTTGGTCTCACTACACACCTCCTTGTCACAGGGGCAATAGCCAGAGAAATAGCTATTCAGGAGAGATGGCCAGGTATCCAGGAAAGCTTGATACAGCTGGGATAAATTTTAAGCTTTGAGGAGGGCCTTCAAGAGAGCCACATGGTGCCACAACCCTCAACAACATGGCCGCAGCTCCAGCGGCCCTGCTGAGGCACCCGCCAGCACCACCCAAGAACCTGCTCGGGCTCATCAGCCACAGCCCCAACACGGCTCCTTGCTGTAGAAGCAGCAGTTTCGCTTTGGAAAGCGAAATGACGGAAAAGGGACAGAAAACGGCCCCGTTTTTCCCGCAGTTCTCCAGTCGACGCCTTGACTGAGGAACAACGGCTCTGATCTCCAAGCCATGGCAAGAACACACCGGGCAACCAGTTGTGACAGGCGCTTGAGACGCTCTAAAATGGATTACTCATCAAAGATCACCAGACCATAAAAGACGCTCCAGCTGTGCCACTCTTAATTGTGTAGAGAAATGCAGGAGGCTGGGCTCTATTTAAAATTAATTTCTTCTTTTTTTATTTCTGTTTACTAGATTCTAAGTCAGTTCCTTTCTTTTCGACAGCCTCAGTGCCTTTTTTGTTGTCTTTGAAAGAAAAAGCCCCAAACCCAGGAAATTTCTAGTGAGTGCTATTTTTAAATGAGAAGATTTTACGCAGACCTCAAGAAGGTGCCCAAACCATTCAGTCTTGCGTTTTAAGCCCTCAGTTGAGCACAGAACTTAACATCTAGATAAATCCTTTGAAAGCAACAGCAATTTTGAGGCAATCCACTGTGTGAAATCTAGCCAAGCGCTGGCCAAAGCGCTAAGTCAGATCATTGCTGTAAGGAGGAAAAAAAAAAATAATTTTGGCTAAAGCGCTTCTGCAAAGTCACTGTCAGCACCTATTTTTCAGCTCATAAAAACAACATCAGAGGAAATTTAAAACAATAACTAACTTTGAGATCAGTATTTGAAAAAAAACAAAAGAAAAAAAAACATCGAAAATGCTGTCAAGAGCACAAGCCCTATATTCTTATTCATTAGGCTTAGCAATTATGACAGAAGGTACCTCTAAAAAACTCAGAGCAGCAACCAGAACATGGGCTTCCTGTACCCACCACAGCTGCCAAGATTTCCAACCAAACCAGGAGAAGAGGGAGCCAAACAGCCCTGCAAACCATCTCCTTTTGGCCATTGCTTTTAAACCAATTGCAACCTGCAGAGATGCTTTGCCAAAACTGATCCCTGTAAGCCACCGCAGAAACTCTCCCTCCTCCTGCTTCCCATGTTAGAAAAAATATCCAGGTGCATAAATCTGGATTCTCCAACAGAGCCAGTAACAAGGTGACCAATACCATCCAAAACAGAGGGAGCATAAGGACAAGATTTGCTTTTGAGGTGCCATGTTATCTCCCACTCAGCCAATCAAGGGATTAAAACACAGCTTTAAGCAAAGTCATTACTCCTGCCTTAACTCTAGAGATGTTACTAATGACCCTGCAGCATTGCAGATGTGCCAGGTCAGCACCTTCTTCCTTGGTATCTAACAGAGTTTTCACTAGGACCTAAGCTGGAGCAACATGTGTGTCTTGTGAGGATGAGCCCATCTCTTGGGGGAAAGGGGAGCAGAACACTGTTCAAGCATGTCGTGCAAACCTGTATCGAGCAGCACCGCCGTTTCACACCCAATGGCCAGATACTGCATGAACTCTCCTAATTATAACTCCAGCCAGTTTGCTTAACACAACCACCACTGAGAACCTTCAACAAATATCAATGATCCCCTAGATCTGCTTTTTTTATGGCATGGCAGAAACCTAATTACACACAATCAATTTCAGTCAAAACTTAAAGTCTACAGACTTGTCCAAAGTGGAAAGCAGCCCTCAGAGGTATCAAAACAAGCAGGCAACGCTCTCAAGCTATGGTGTCAGTGCAGCTGAACTGGATAACATTACCTAAGCCAAGGATACTATTCGCTCTGCTTTTGAGCATGTTTTCTTTGTGTTCTACAAACAGGAGTGTTACAAACGTGGTCACTTTGATCCCTGTCCTCCAATCTGACCATACAAATCATGAGCATCAATGGAAGATGCAGCTCAAACACTGATTAAGCCCATGTTAAATGCTCTTCTGCTGGAGTTCCTTGTTACTCTCTCCAGAATAACACATTGACTAACCTCACAACAGAAGTCCATGATGTTTTTCAGATGTTTTGCTACAAGCTCTTTTATTTTTGTGGCAACAGCTTTAATGAAGTCTGAGTTTTTAATGAGGTGCAAGCTACACACAAGTCACACATGGGTTGATTTCTACAAAAGCAGACACCAAGTTTGATGCAGCATCTGCATATGATGGGATGAGATCTGCATGAGATTGGCACTGAGACAGCAAGTGAGATCTGAAGAAAGCACTTAAGAGGTGTTGAGATTTTTATTACAGGATGAGCATTATTTTAGAAAAACTTAAGACTGCACATCAGAGAAGGAAACTCAGCAGTTATGGTATTTCCTGTTCTCTCCCATTCAGTCCCTAAGTGACAACATGCCGAGGCAAGAGCAATGATTCAGGGAAATCATGGTCACATGGGAAAATAAAGAGCAGCTACTGCGAGAAAACAGAAATAACCAGTGCAGGCTCCTGGCCATTACCTTGGTTCGCCCAGGTCACCGCTAGCACCGAGCCACCACAAACAGCAACCCTCAAATACCAATTCAAGCAACCCCAATTATCTCTTGGCTCTCACCATGGTCTTAACCCGCAAAAGGGAAATGGTACCTTCCTTGTTGGACAAATCCTGCAAGTTTTTTTTTTTTTTTTTTAATAAACCCGTAAGAGACCTTTAAGAGCTTGCCAAGCAAATATTAACGTTGGACATAATACTTACACAAAGTGCATGCACACGGTCAGACAGGAATTCATGGCATCAACGCGGGCAGCATCCCGCATACATACCTGTTCTGTGCCCCTTCCAAGGCACATGCATGGAGGAAAGCTCTTCTTAAACAGCATGGAAAACAACACACATGCAATTCCTAAAGGGATCTCCTCTGCCTTTCACCTCCCTGTCACCCCATGCCCAAAGCCTCCGCGCAAACAGCCAAGAAGCAACGTTCTCGGGAGATGGAGGGGAGCAGCGAGCTCGCCAATCCCCTTGCACTGGCTGAATACCCCTTAAAAATAATCAATGGAAGAAAAAGGAAACAAAAGGAAATGAAAAGATAAAAAGGTGGGTTTGGGCTCAGTGCAGCCCAGGGGCTGGTGGGCGCTCCGGAGCGCAGGGCCCGTGTACTCACCCGGTGGCTTCATGTAGTATTGCTCGATGTCGGACATGTCCGTGTGCAGGGCGCAGTCCAGATAGTGCAGGATAACTTTCCTGCTGAAGTAGTACCTCATGCCCATGAGCAAGATGGGCAAGCAGCAGGTCAGCAGGAAGGACTTGGTCACAACAAAGCACATTACTATGGAGATAAGGAAGAGAAATAAACGACACCTGTCAGAAAAGAGAATTTAGTGTTGATTTTGGAACGCAAACTCATAAAATATTAAAAAAAAAGACAAAAGAAAGCACACACACAATTGCACATCAGTATGCGGATCTCAAGGTTGCGCGGTGCAAGTGAAGGCAGCACCGAACCCGGGATGCTTGGGAAGCCCGGACGCGGCCAGCATTCCTGGCAGGCGGATGGGAGCCCCAGGGTGTCCGGGGGGGGCTCCCGGCTGCCCCTGCATCCAGCCCTGCAATCCCATTGCTCTGGTGTGGAGTGGGGGGAGCCTCTCCCTTGGGGCCTGGGAACACAGCGGCCGGGAGCCCAAACTGGGGCATCCCGTGGTTCCTGCCAGGGCTCCCCTGTCCCCCTCCGGCATGGGGGGGGACACATCTGCAACGGAGGGGATGGGCGAACACACGGTAATGGCAATGGGGGGGTCGCAGACACGTTATTTGCAAGGG